AGTTATAGAAGTATCTCCATTAGTTGATAAACTTCACCACCACTTCTATGGCATGGGTTTCACTTTTCCTCCTTTACAATAAAGTCCCAAAAGGCAAAAAAAAAAAAAAAAAAACCATACAAAAGTAACTCCAGAAAGTAATTATAACTCCAGAAAGTAATTACTTACTATTACCCCTTCCGCCTGTTGACTTTGCTTAAAAGTTCTCAATGGTGTCGAAGGCTTCCCTTTCGCTTCACTGTCCTTTGTTCTATCAAAAACGAAAGTGGAGAAGCACTTCCGTCTTATATTTTCTCCTCCGTTGCATCGAAAACCTCAAGTTTAGCAAAAGTTGCTTTCTGTTCCCCCTTTTACTTTGATAGCATCTTTAATGTTTATATCTTCATAAAAAGTTACTTTTTAGAAGAATTAGCAGGGAGAAAGAAACAGTAGCCACTAGTGGCAACTCACTTTCCTTTTCGCCGCTCTGCGTGTAGCGCTGCGTCTGAGCTGATTTCAGATGACAGCTGAACTCCGATTTTTCCTTTCTCTTCGGATCTTCCCTTAAGGTCCAATTCTTATAATCTATAATCAAGTTAGAGCCGAATTTCTTAAATTTGAGACCGAGGTGCTTTCTCTGCAAGCTCGGGGCTTCGCTATTCGGAGGTAGATAATGGCTTCCCTCTGCCCGCTGCTCCTCTCTGCCGTTCTCCTCGCTCGTTTTGGAGTTACCTGACGGCCGGGAGAACAGCTTCTGGCACCGCCGGGAATCTGACCTTCTGGACACCCACCAGAGGTAATTTGGGGGGTTACTGCGCCCTGTAGCACCCCCTTTCCTTCTGAAATAGCCCGGGATTTCCCTTACGGTAAAATCCCCGCTTGCGGTGAGATCGCGCTCCACCGGAGAATCCAGTACATTCCTTTTTTTAAAAAAAATATTTTATTGCATTTTAAGAAAAAAGGAAAGATAACCAAGCATATATCAAACACAGAAATTCATGACTTACAGCTCTATAAAAAGAAAAAAAGAGAAAAAGAAAAAAGAAAAAAAAATTTCATATACCTTTTTCATAACCATCTGGACTTCCTCACATTTCCCTTCCCTGCATTCTCCATTAAACAAATATGTTCAGCAATTTATCACCTTCTTTCAAATCTTATATTCTAATTCTGATATGTTATGTCTCTGATTTTAAATGTTTCCATCAAATATTTCACTACTTAGTTTAGGCATGACTTTACTTCAAATCTCGTCTTTATATTTCAACTTATTTTCCTAGGTTTCTCATCTAGGCAGCTGATGCCATAGTCCTTCCATTCATGCACTTTCTTACATTCATACAGTTTATAAAATTTTGTAAATAGTCTTTAAACTTCTTCCAGTCCTCTTCCTCCTCCTCTTTTCCCAGGTCTCGAATTCTGCCAGTCATCTCAGCCAGTTCCATGTAGTCCATCAGTTGCGTTTGCCATTCTTCCAGCGTGGGCAAATCTTGTGTCTTCCAATGTTTTGCAATCAGTATTCTTGCTGCTGTTGTTGCATACATAAAAAAGGTTCTGTCTTTTTTTTGCACCCTCTGGTCAACGATGCCCAAAAGGAAGGCCTCTGGTTTCTTAGGGTTTTAAGAAAAAGTATAAATATTGACGTCTATAAGGATTGGCTTTTTTTTTTCTTTTTTAAAATGAACTAAATATAAAAAGGTTAAAAAAAATTAGGGATAAGAACTTGTTGAAACAACATTGAATTGGAATACAAGAAGGGGAGGTGTGGGGAAGTCAGGGAAATAGGGTATAGAAAATAAGGATTGGGAATTCTATGTGTTCTTAAATTTTTTGTTTGTTCTTTTTTTCTTTTTTTGATGTAATATGAAAAACTTCAATAAATATTTTATATATAAAAAAAAAACACAATTGAGGTCTTGCAACTGTGGAGCAGGTATTATGTGGCACCTGAAGCTGAAGCAGTCGAGTGGGCGTCTGGAGTTCTCTCAATCCACTCTCTACATGCCGTGCAGAAATTCATAACCATCCATCATAGGATTCTCCCATCGGACATTACCAGGATTTTTTTTTTTAAATATTTATTAAAGTTTTAAGGGTTACAAAAAGAAAAAGTAAAAAACATCATTTTAAACAAGAAACAATACAACACATCACAATAGGTAAAGAAAAAAGGATGAGATACAAAAAAAGAAAAAACAGAAGAATAAAATCCATTAAACAACAAAAAAGAAAAAGAAAAATACAACAAATCTTCCCATTACTTATCTTTCATTAGCTTATTTCCTTGGCCTCCTCACACCTCCCTTTTTTGTATTTTAGTTTGATTATCTATTTCAGCAAATCCTTTCCATCTTTTCAAATTTTAGTCCTGTAATTTATCTTAGTATAATGTAGCTTTACTTTCCCTCCTTTCACCAATTAACAGTCAGTTTTTCCCAAATCCTTTGTATCATTTCTGCTAAAGCCACATAACATCATTCCAACATCCTTCTAACATTCATTAATTTTACAATGTTTCTGTAAATAGTCTTTAAATTTCTTCCAATCTTCCGGATATTACCAGGATTTCAAAGACGGAATTGTCCAACAACTTTCGGGGTGTCCTGGCTTTTACTTTTTGAAATTGGGCAACCCTAGGTCACTTGGGATACAATGGAGAATCTCCTTCAGGGCTGAAGTCAAACTGTTGGTAGATTGCAGCACCTGCAATAGAAGCCGATACAGGAGAGACATGTTTAGTTGCAGCTGGGGCTGATGAAGTCATCTGTTTGTGCTGCCGCAGATGCACCAGGGCATGTCTTCCCTCTGCTCTCCTCCCAGAGGTCACTGCTATGGATACATGACCATATTGTCTGTCTCCAGGCTCTGCAGTTGTCTGTGGACTGTATCTCTCTTCCCTCACCCAAAGGAATACCTGAAAGATGGATAAATAGACCCAGGAAGTGAGTATTATGTGTGAGGCCATGGCATGCAGGCAAAAGGATCTGGTGTATTTGTTTCAAGAAACAGTGAGAGGAGGTGAGTGTGCCATGATTTTGGTGGTGATATTTCTGAGCAGAATTTGTGATCTTGTCATGTTTTAATTGGATCTTGAATTACACAAAGGAGGATATCTTCATAGAATCTTAGAGTTGGAAGGTCCAGTCCAACTCCCTGCTATGCAGGAATCTCAGCTCAAGCATCCAGGACAGCTAAAACCTCCAAGGAAGGAGAGCCCACCACCTCTTGTGGGAGTCTGTTCCACTGTCAAACAGCTCTTACTGTCAGAAAGTTTTTTTCCAAATGTTTAGTCAGAATCTCCTTTCTTGCAACTTGAAGCCATTGGTTCTGGTCCTACCCTCCAGAGCAGGAGAAAACAGGCATGTTCCCTCCTCCATGTGACAGCCCTTAGAATATTTGAAGATGGCTCTCATATCTCCAATCAGTCTCCTCTTCTCCAGGCTAAACATACCCAGCTCCATCAACCGTTCCTCATAAGGCTTAGTTTCCAGAACCTCGATCGTCTTGGTTGCTCTCCTCTGCCCACCTTACAGCTTGTCAACATCCTTCTTAAATTCTGGTACCCAGAATTGGACACAGGATTCCAAGTGTGGTCTGACTAAAGCAGAATAGAGTGGGATTATTACCTCCCTTGATCTGGACACTAGACTTCTATTGGTGCAACCTAGGTAAAGGGACCCCTGACCATTAGGTCCAGTCGCGGATGACTCTGGGGTTGCGGCGCTCATCTCGCTTTATTGGCCGAGGGAGCCGGTGTACAGTTTCCGGGTCATGTGGCCAGCATGACTAAGTCGCTTCTGGCGAACCAGAACAGCATATGGAAACGCCGTTTACCTTCCTGCAAGAGCGGTACCTATTTATCTACTTGCACTTTGACGTGCTTCCGAACTGCTAGGTTGGCAGGAGCAGGGACCGAACAACGGGAGCTCACCCCATCGCGGGGATTCGAACCACCGACCTTCTGATTGGCAAGCCCTAGGCTCTGTGGTTTAACCCACAGCGCCACCCGCGTCCCTTGATGCAGTCTGTTGTTGTTGTTGTTGTTGTTTAGTCGTTTAGTCGTGTCTGACTCTTTGTGACCCCCTGGACCAGAGCACGCCAGGCACTCCTGTCTTCCACTGCCTCCCACAGTTTGGTCAAACTCATGTTCGTAGCTTCAAGAACACTGTCCAACCATCTCTGTCCTCTGTCGTCCCCTTCTCCTTGTGCCCTCCATATTTCCCAACATCAGGGTCTTTTCCAGGGAGTCTGCTCTTCTCATGAGGTGGCCAAAGTCTTGGAGCCTCAGCTTCAGGATCTGTCCTTCCAGTAAGCACTCAGGACTGATTTCCTTAAGAATGGATAGGTTTGATCTTCTTGCAGTCCATGAGAATCTCAAGAGTCTCCTCCAGCACCATAATTCAAAAGCATCAATTCTTCGGTGATCAGCCTTTTTTGCTGCTCCATCCCACTGTTGACTCATGTTAAGCTTGTGGTCCACCAAGATCCCTAGATCCTTTTCACATGTACTGCTAGTAATCCAGGTGTCCTTCATCTTATATTTGTGCATCTGGTTCTTCCTGCCTAAGTGCAGAAGTTTACATTTGTCCCTACTGAAATTCATTTTGTTAAGGTCATTTTGAATTCTGATTCTGCAGCATTAGCTACCCCTCCCAGTTTGGTGTCATCTGCAAATTTGATGAGCATCCCCTCAGTTCCTTCATCCAAGTCATTTATAAAGACGTTGAACAACAACGGGCCCAGGACAGAACCCTGCAGCCCCCCTCTGGTCACTTTCCCCAGGATGATGAAGAACCATGAAGGAATCCTGTTCAGGTTTAGACTGTCAAATCCACCTAACAGTTACCCCATTCAGCCCGCATTTTACCAGCTTCTTCACATAAATATCACAGGGGGCTTTGTCAAAAGCCTTACTGAAATCAAGATACACTATGTCCACAGCATTTCCCTGATCCACCAAGTTTGTAATTCCATAAAAATTTAAAAAAACAAACAAACAGATTGGTCTGGCATGACTTATTTTTGAGAAATCTTAGTAATCACAGCACCCTTTTCTAAATGCTCACATACCAACTTGAATTATCTTTTCTAGGAGCTTCCGTGGTATCGATGTCAAGCTCACCAGTCGGTAGTTACCTGAGCCTTCCTTTCCCTCCTTTCTGAAGACGGGGACAACATTTGCCCACCTCCAGTCTGTAGGGACATCACCTGTTGGATGACTGGGAGAGTGGTGACGGCAGCTACTGCACAGTAAGATCCAGTTGGCAGCACTGCAGGGTTGTTGTGCAGGAGATGGGCAAAAAAAGGGGTGTGAGGAGCTCTCCTAAGTCTCCTCTCCAACTTCTCCACAATGCATAGAACCACTAAAACCCATATTATGTAACGTTCTCAACTGGCTACACAGTACTACCTGAGTCTGAAGGGGGAAATTATTATTTATTCAATTAATATACAGCCCTTTATCAAATGATCCCAGGGCAGTGTGCAACATTAAAAACACATCAATGATAAAGCAAAGTAAAAAGCATACTGACAGATAATAATAAATCAATACGATAAAAATGAATACCCGCTCCTTGTGTTTCAGTGCTCACTGAATCCAGAAGGAACACAGAAGCACTGACCATGTCCTCTTTCCATCAAGGCAACGTCACCACTGCCATGTTCATTTTAGTCGGCTTCCCAGGCATGGAAGCATCTCACTTCTGGCTGGCTTTCCCCCTATGCTTCCTCTTTCTGCTGGCCATTCTGGGCAACTGCACCATCATCTACATCATCCGCGCAGAGCGGAGCCTCCACGAGCCCATGTACCTCTTCCTTTGCATGTTGGCAGCCATCGACATCATGATCACCCTGTCCACCGTGCCCAAGATGTTGGCCATATTCTGGTTCAGATCCACCAGCATCGCCTTTGATGCTTGCTTGGTCCAGATGTTCTGCATCCACAGCCTCTCTGGAATGGAATCCACCATCTTGCTAGCTATGGCTTTCGACCGCTACATCGCCATATGCTACCCACTGAACCACTCCTCTATCCTCACCACGCCCAGGATAGCTAAAATAGGACTGGTGGCTGTATTTCGTGGAGCAGCCCTGATGGCCCCTTTGCCCGTTTTCATTAAGAGGCTGCCCTTCTGCAAGTCCAACGTTCTCTCCCATTCCTACTGCCTGCATCAGGATGTCATGAAGCTAGCCTGCGCCAGCATCAAGGTTAACATCATCTATGGACTCGTGGTCATCATTTTCGCCATTGGGCTGGATTCCCTGCTCATCTCCTTGTCTTACTACTTCATCCTGAAAGCTGCCCTGAGTTTGAGCCAAGAGGCACGTGTCAAGGCCCTCGGGACGTGCCTCTCCCACATATGTGCTGTCTTTCTTTTCTACGTGCCCTTCATTGGCTTGTCCATGGTTCACAGGTTTGGTAAGACGCACGGCTCCAACATCCATACCGTGATGGCCAATGTCCACCTTCTGGTGCCTCCAGTGCTGAACCCAATCGTCTATGGGGTGAAGACGAAACAGATACGTCACCGAATAGGGCGGGCATTTTGCAGAACTAGGTGCTGATAAGAATTTACTGCAATTAACTTTTTTAAAAAATAAATCATTCATTTATCAGTTCCAACATCATGAAGCATATGGTGATCCCTCTGCAGGGTGTGGGATGTCTCTCCAATGAATCGTTGGGTACAAGCTCCCATCTCCTGCTCCCTTTATTTTTCTTCATGGATATTTTCCTCCTCAATACTAGAAGCATGGATGCGTCAAGAAGACCCCTTGCTATGGTGATTTTGAGCACTACAGATGACAGTCCTGGTTCTGCTCCATTTCACCCCCAAGTGGTTGTGAAGATCCTTCTGAAGATTCCACACTTTGAACTTCCATAACCACCCAGATCTAATATAGAGAACCACCCTTCTCTATATATGGGTTCATTCCTGGCCCATTTGAAAGAACCAGTACAGTTTTCTCTTAGTGGCCATCTGTCAGGGATTCTTCAGCTGTGATTCCCGCATAGCAGGGGGTTGAACTAGATGGCCTTTGGGTGAACTTCCAACTCCACAATTCTATGATTCTGTGACAAGGAGGTTTGGAGTGAAATGCCATCAGCAGATGTTTGACAACCTGCTCTTTCTCTCTGTTCCACAAGAAGACACAGCAAGACTGTACTTTTTGAGAATTTAAGGAAAACCATCTTCGCAGAACGCTGCTGCCTTTCATGCCATGGACGTGTCAATGGCTTATTTGTGTACGAGCTTACTACCGGAAGTTGGGTTGTGCAGAGTTTAAAGCAGCAGAAGCATTCTTGTGCCCTATCTCACCTTGGAATTATGCCAGTGATAGGAAGACTGGAATATAAAGATCTCGATCTGTCACTGCTCTGTTTGATGGTGAATGAATTCACCAGTATGCTCTGTTCCATTCAGGAATCAGGGACGAACTAGTTGATGTTATTAGACTGGTGATCTTGAAATGACCCGTCATTTATGCAGAGTAGCTTCCTTTTGTTGTTGTTTTACCTTTGTGCTTTAAATTAGAGGCTACCTTGGCAGTAAATGCATAGAAGTAGGAACTTGGTCTAGATAGCAGAGGAAGTTTACAGTGGATTCCAGAGAAATTCCACCCAGCTTCTGATGAAGGCTAGCAGATTTTCATTCATTATTCATTCATTCATTCCATTTATGTCCCATTCAGCTCAGAGTGTCATCCAACAGTTATTGTTGTTGCTGTTGCTGTTGTTGTTGCTGTTGTTGTTGCTGCTGTTGTTAGTCCCATCCTCCAGGAATTCACAATCTAAGACAATCAAATGGTTGGGGGATAAAATAGGGCAAATGAAACTAAAAAGACTTAGTAATGATAAATCTATCCTCTCAAAACTAACCCAAAGCCCAGCCCCAGGGTAGCAGAGCTTGCTGTCAAGTCCTGCTGACTGCCAAGGGCAGTGGTTCTTTTAGGATTTAGAAGCAATGGACACACTGATGGGTGAAGACTGAAGGTTCTTTATTAACGCAGAGAAAGACTAAAGCATAAAAGTGAAGGACAAGACCACAATGCTTATGTCCCTCTTATTGCTGGGAATTCCTTGAGCAGCAATGCAGAGACTCCTCTGTCTGCAGTCTGGGTGTGCACTGAGGTTCAAAGATGCAGGGCTTCTCTTGGGATGACTATACTGCCTTTATCTCCTGGACCTCAAATTAACCTTGCACATCAGATTGATGCGTTAATCACACCTGTGGTGAGAATTAGACAACGGTCCTCCAGTTCATACATTCTTGCACACATAGGTGAGTCTGTGGCAAGCAGCCAATATAGATGACTGCACTTATACATTTCAAAGATAAGGGATGTGGTGGCAAGCAGCCAGTACAGAACCATCCCAGGTGCTCCCTTAGTCAGCTAGTGGGACATACTTAACACAGGACATCCTTAACTTGGACAGAAACAGACATACGGACACACATAACTTGCTAGTGTGTGAGGAATTGAAGCAGAGAAATAGCGAAGAAAGCAGCAGAAAGAAGCATGGCTGACCACCAAAAGACTGTCAGGATCATCCTACATGCAAGTAGCATCGATAGAGACACATGCCTGACTAGCATGTTCGCTCCCTCCTGGTTGGTTGTTTGGGAGCTTCAGAAGCTTTCTCTAGCCCGAACATCACAGTGACTGATACCAAGAGGCATCAGCGCACTTAGGAACAGCAGAGTGTTAGCAGTTCGCATAACAGACTCAGCAGCACAGCATTTTGGCTAATCTACTTTATTTACATATAGCACACTCAGAGCATTCTGACTCAGCTCCTTCCTCTTTCTCATCAGACAGCAAAGAGAGAAAGACAAAGGACAATAGTCCCACATCACGGAAACACAGTACAGTGGTACCTCGGGTTAAGTACGTAATTCGTTCTGGAGGTCCGTTCTAAACCTGAAACTGTTCTTAACCTGAAGCACCACTTTAGCTAATGGGGCCTCCCGCTGCTGCCACGCCGCCGGAGCACGATTTCTGTTCTCATCCTGAAGCAAAGTTCTTAACCCGAGGTACTATTTCTGCGTTAGCAGAGTCTGTAACCTGAAGCGTATGTAACCTGAAGCGTATGTAACCCGAGGTACCACTGTAATCCAAACATCCCGTCTCCATCACTTCCCACACTATGGAATGAAAACATACACCGTCATGTGATAGAAAACAATCCCATGACTGCAAGAAGGGGGCAAGAATCCTAGCAAAGACTCGGGCAAGCTGGGTACAAAAGGACGAAGGGTGTCATACCACACAATGCTAACTCCTCAATATCACAATGGTCTTCCAATACAATAATAATAATAATAATAAATTTTATTTATATCCCGCCCTCCCCAGCCGAGCCGGGCTCAGGGCGGCTAACAACAGTCAAATAACAATCAAATAATAGCACATTCTAAAAATGTTGTTGTTGTTGTTTAGTCGTTTAGTCGTGTCCGACTCTTCGTGACCCCATGGACCATTTCGTTATAAAAATTAGTTAAAATCAAATTGATGGCAACCGATTAAACAAAATTCTGTGCAGGTTGCCGGAGGAGGGAGTCAAGCTGCGCCCTGACCAAAAGCTTGGCGGAACAACTCTGTCTTGCAGGCCCTGCGGAAAGATGTCAGATCCCGCAGGGCCCTAGTCTCTTGTGACAGAGCATTCCACCAGGTTGGAGCTGCAGCCGAGAAGGCCCTGGCTCTAGTTGAGGCCAGCCTAACCTCTCTGAGGCCTGGGACCTTGAGGGTGTTATTATTTGTAGACCGTAGGTTTCTCTGTGGGGCATACCAGGAGAGGCGGTCCCGTAGGTACGAGGGTCCTAGGCCGTATAGGGCTTTAAAGGTTAAAACCAGCACCTTAAACCTGATCCTGTACTCCACCGGGAGCCAGTGCAGCTGGTATAGCACCGGATGAATGTGATCCCGCAGCGAAGACCCCGTAAGGAGTCTCGCTGCGGCATTCTGCACCCGCTGGAGTTTCTGGGTCAGTCTCAAGGGCAGCCCCACGTAAAGCGAGTTACAATAATCCAGTCTGGAGGTGACCGTCGCATGGATCACAGTGGCTAGGTCAGGGCGAGAGAGATAAGGGGCCAACTGCTTAGCTTGTGGTGCCTCGCAAGACGAAATTAATTCGTTCTGCGAGTTTTTTCGTCTTGCAAATTTTTTGTCTTGCGAAGCACGGTCAGGTCGCAACTGCACCTCTTCAATCGGTTTTAAGAAAAAGGAAACAAACTTGCAAGACGTTTTTGTCTTGCGAAGCAAGCCCATAGGGAAATTCATCTTGCGAAGCAACTCAAAAAACGAAAAACTCTTTCGTCTTGTGAGTTTTTCGTCTTCCGAGGCATTCGTCTTGCGAGGTACCACTGTACACCCACCCCACACCATAAATAACCATTCGAATATGTCAACCAAATGACAATAATTCATCCAGCTGCTAAATGCCCACTTTGCTCTTTGTTTTGATTGTTTCCTTTCCTTTTGGTCAAGGAGAACCTGAACATCCAGAAATACAACACAGTACGTGCCAAATACTTCAGATTTGCTCCTCTCCAACAGGATGCTTGAGCTTTAGAGAAGACAGAGCTGGGCTTCCCAGCCTCTGACCACCCATGCTGCACCAGGTTTCCTGATTTTGAATCTTCATACACAGCTTGCTCACTTGCTTCTTCATTTATTTCAGTTGTGTCCCACTTTTTGACTGGAGTCTCCAAAGCAGCTGAGAACATTCATTTAAAAAAAACCACAAAACAACCAACTGTTCCATTAAAAACTCTACATTTAAAAATGGGAAACCATGAAAAAGATAGTGAGGAGGTGGAGAACAAGGGGAAAAAATTAAAAAATCATTCTGTGTAAGAAAGTGAAATGCTTCTGGGAAATGATTTATAACGAGATGAAAAAGATGTTGAAATATACATTTGTAAAAAAACAACCCAGAAGCATTTCTACTTGGTATTGTAGGCACTGACATTAATAGACAAGATAAAAAAAAATTTGTTTTTATATGCGACAACTGCAGTAAGATTACTGGCACAGAAATGGAAGCAGGAAGAACTACTGACGAAAGAGGAACGGCATATGAAATTAATTTGGATAAAGATGACAGGGAGAATTCGAAACCAGCAGGACCAGAAATTCTTGAAAGATTGGAGTAAATATGTGAGTTATTTGAAAGACAATTGTAAACATTGACTACGTTTGTAGGACTACAGGAAGTTTTATAAGGAGAGCTATATGAAATATTGCAGAAAATATTTATGAGAATGGATTTTAAGTTATTGATTAATAAAAGTAATAGTTAGGATAACAAATGCAAGATTAAGAGAGGAGGTTTGAGAATCATTAGACATGGTTGATGGAAGTCTCAGGCTAAAATAGCCAAAATGATGTATAAAAGGATGAGATGAGATGGTCTGTTTGAAAAATATATGTATGTAACAACCAATAAAATTGTGTGTGTGTGTGTGTGTGTGTGTGTGTGTGTGTGTGTGTCATTCTGGAGTAGTGAAACAAACAAACAAACAAACAAACAAACAAACCACAGGAGAATGTTTAGTTCACCTGAATTTGGAATAGGGAACAGTGGGAGGGCAACTCTTAGATGAGCTATCTGATAATCTCTCTCTCTCTCTCTCTCTCTCTCTCTCTCTCTCTCTCTCTCTCTCTCATCTTTTATGACCCTGTGAGAGGCAAATGGGTCAAACAGAACCAGAATACCAAAGTTTTTTATTGCCTCCCGAAGGTCCTTTAATGGGCTAAGGAAGGAGAGGAAACAAGAAAAGCTCCGTGCCTTCAAAGTTTCCCAGAACAGGTTCTTGTCCCGTGCATCTCCCATTTGCCACTTCCTCCACAATCGGGTTGTGCAACGTCTCTTATGTGGCTGCTGAGGTTGCCTGCCAAGCCTACCAGAATCGCTTTGGGCAAAGCAATACTTGCTTCCGGTGTAGGGCGCAACATATAATGATTCCTGGAAAGTTCAGAGAGTAAGCAGCAGGCTAGGAAGAAGCTGGGATTTCATAGTGCCATTCAGATTAGAAACTTCGGAAAGATTAGAAAACTTCTGTACTGCTGTCATCTTGGCTGGCAGTTGGCCAAAAGATTCAGCATTCACTACTGTGTCCCTAAGAGGAGAGCTTTCTTCCTAAAACTACAGGAGAAATACTGGATGAAATTTGGGCCTCCTGCATCTGAGGAAGTGATATGCATCGGTGATGGGGATGCACGTAGAACGTGTTTGTTGATGGCTTGACTTATGTATCTTCTCCACCGTCAATGGCCATGAGGCACCATGGTCTTTCCCTTACTGAACAGCCTTAGGACGCTTTCACGTATCTCTTTTGTCTTCACGCCATAGACAATGGGGTTCATCATGGGGGGCAGAAGAAGGTAAAGGTTGGCCATAATGATGTGAACGTGAGGAGCAATGCTGTGCCCCCCAAAGCGGTGTGCGAAGAACGTGAAGAAGGCCGGAGTGTAAGATACCGTGATGGCGCAAATGTGTGCAGTGCAGGTGCCAAAGGCCTTGCTCCTCGCCTCCTTAGAGGAAAGTCCCACCACTGCCTTCAGGATCATGAAATAAGACACTGTGATGCAGAAGATGTCGAAGCCCCCTATCAGCAGGGCTACCGTCAAGCCATAGATGGCGTCCACGTGGATACTGCCGCAGGCCAGCTTCACCACCGCCATGTGGTCACAGTAAGTGTGAGCAATGACGTTGGTGTTGCAATATTGCATCTTCCTGACCAGGAAAGGGAAAGGGAGAATGAGAACGGCGCCCCTGATGAAGGTCACTAGCCCCACCTTCAGAATCAAGGGGTTGGTCAGAATGGTGGCATACCTCAGTGGGTAGCAGATGGCCACGAATCTGTCCAGAGCCATAAGCATGAGGACGCCAGACTCCATCCCAGTGAAGGTGTGGACAATGTACATCTGGACCAGGCAGGAGTTGAAGTCAATCTCTTTGAGGTTGAGCCAGAAGATGCAGAACGCTTTGGGCATGGTAGATGTTCCCATCACTATGTCTGTGATGGAGAGCATGCAGAGGAAGAAGTACATGGGTCTGTGAAGGGCCTCCTCAGTCCAGATGATGTACAGGAGCCCACAGTTCCCCACCATGCCAATGAGATACATGGAAAAAAATGGGAAGGAGATCCAAAGGTGAGCATGTTCCAGGCCTGGGATCCCGTTCAAGATGAACTCCAAGAGAGGCTTACCTGTCCCATTGGTGGCTGCCATGTTGGAAAGAGAAAAATCATCTGGAGATCTAAAGATAATAAAACACAGGAAGAAATCCATTAAAATGTTTTCAGCCATGGACATTTCATAAAGTAGCTCTTGAGCTGAATAGTGTGTGGAATTAAAAACAGGATTTTTAAATATAAAATATTTGTTTTAGAAATATTTATATACCCCTTCAGTTAACCACCAATTTACTGTTTTCAAAACTCCTCCTCTCTTTTATCCTTTGGAATCCATTAATGAAAACTTTGTACAGTGGTACCTTGGTTCTCAAACTTAATCCGTTCTGAAAGCCTGTCCCAAAACCAAAGCGTTCCAAAACCAAGGCATGCTTTCCCATAGAAAGTAATGCAAAACGAATTAATCCGTTCCAGACTTTTAAAAACAATCTCTAAAACAGCAATTTAACATTAATTTTACTATCTAACGAGACCATTAATCCATAAAATGAAAGCGGTAATCAATGTACTGTACTATAAAATAACTAAGACAGTATTGTAGATGATAAAAATTAAAATATATTTTTTTCTTACCTGCACTGATGATAGTCATTGTTTGGATTTTATCCATTTCCACAGTCACACAATCAATCAATCAGTAGCTGAACTGGGTTCCACACAGTCACCAAAACAAATTAACTGAAAAAGCCTCAAAAACAAAAACACAAAATAAATAGCAAAAACAAAAGTGGCAAACTTAATCTGTTCCAGAAGTCCATTGGACTTCCGAACTGTTTGAAAAATGCAGTTTCTGATTGGAACAGGTGCCCCAGAAACAATAGCTGACAGCCGCATTGGATGTTCAGCTTCCGAAAAATGTTCAAAAACAGGAACACTTCCGGGTTTTTGGCATTTGAGAACCAAGGTGTTTGAGAACCAAGGTGTTTGAGAACCAAAGTACCACTGTATTAAAACTATTGCATGCCATACTAGGAAATACTGTCAAATCAGATTTTCAAATGCTCTTCCAGGCTGGCCTCAGCTTATTAGGGATCTCTCAATGAGAAGAACTCCCTGGAAAAGAGAAGACTGCCTGGAAAAGACCCTGGTGTTCGGAAAGATGGAGGGGACGACAGAGGACGAGATGGTTGGACAGTGTTCTCGAAGCTACCAGCCTGAGTTTGACCCAACTGCGGGAGGCAGTGGAAGACAGGAGTGCCTGGTGTGCTTTGGTCCAGGGGGTCACGAAGAGTTGGACACAACTAAACGACTAAACAACAACAACAACAATGAGAATAGATGAGACACGGCTTGCCTGCGATTTCTGAATCTTTGCCTGCAATGAGCAGAGACGGAAGGGGAAGGACTCACTTCACACTTTGTTACAAGCCCTGCGCTGGTCCTGTGGTCCAGCGTCACACAAGGAGCAGCATTCTCATGGCATGTATGCTGAGGTTACTCAACAGCCATTGACAAGGAAAGCACCCCTTGAAAAGCAGGGAAACTGCCATGATATACCATTGCATTATCAGTTATCAGCATAGTCAAACTTTAAACACTGTTCCATGTGTCAGTTATCTAAAACCCTCCAACTCTAGGAGTCCTGGAGTCCTCTAGTTCATCCTGGAGAAGAGTGACTAGTGGGGTGCCACAGGGTTCTGTCTTGGGCCCAGTCTTATTCAACATCTTTATCAACGACTTGGATGATGGACTCAAGGGCATCCTGATCAAATTTGCAGATGACACCAAACTGGGAGGGGTGGCTAACACCCCAGAGGACAGGATCACACTTCAAAACGACCTTGACAGATTAGAGAACTGGGCCAAAACAAACAAGATGAACTTTAACAGGGAGAAATGTAAAGCATTGCACTTGGGCAAAAAAAATATGAGAGGCACAAATACAAGATGAGTGACACCTGGCTTGAGAGCAGTACATGTGGAAAGGATCTAGGAGTCTTGGTTGACCACAAACTTGACATGAGCCAACAGTGTGACGCGGCAGCTAAAAAAGCCAATGCAATTCTGGGCTGCATCAGTAGGAGTATAGCATCTAGATCAAGGGAAGTAATAGTGCCACTGGATTCTGCTCTGGTCAGTCCTCACCTGGAGTACTGTGTCCAGTTCTGGGCACCACAGTTCAAGAAGGACACTGACAAACTGGAACGTGTCCAGAGGAGGGCAACCAAAATGGTCAAAGGCCTGGAAACGATGCCTTATGAGGAACGGCTAAGGGAGCTGGGCATGTTTAGCCTGGAGAAGAGGAGGTTAAGGGGTGATATGATAGCCATGTTCAAATATATAAAAGGATGTCACATAGAGGAGGGAGAAAGGTTGTTTTCTGCTGCTCCAGAGAAGCGGACACGGAGCAATGGATCCAAACTACAAGAAAGAAGATTCCACCTAAACATTAGGAAGAACTTCCTGACAGTAAGAGCTGTTCAACAGTGGAATTTGCTGCCAAGGAGTGTGGTGGAGTCTCCTTCTTTGGAGGTCTTTAAGCAGAGGCTTGACAACCATATGTCAGGAGTGCTCTGATGGTGTTTCCTGCTTGGCAGGGGGTTGGACTTGATGGCCCTTGTGGTCTCTTCCAACTCTAGGATTCTATGATTCTATGATTCCTCATAAGGGAGCTGGTCCTGGAGCAAGAACTGTGAGAGGAGAGACTCCATCAGGCAAGGCCTCCTTCACCTGCCTTGTTCCACCCTGCTTCTCAATGTGTATTGTATTATTTTATGCACCGTGGCTTGCCGTTGTTTTATTGATTATAGTTTAGATATTATTTATTGTAACTGTTGAGTGGATTTCTGTTTAACTTTTATATGTTGATATTATTATGGTGCTGTGGGGTGAGTTCCCGTTGCTCAGTCCCTGCTCCTGCCAACCTAGCAGTTTGAAAGCACATCAAAGTGCAAGTAGATAAATAGGTACCGCTCCGGCGGGAAGGTAAACGGCGTTTCCGTGCGCTGCTCTGGTTCGCCAGATGTGGCTTAGTCCTGCTGGCCACATGACCCAGAAGCTGTACGCCGGCTCCCTCAGCCAGTAAAGCCAGATGAGCGCCGCAACCCCAGAGTCTGGACCTAATGGTCAGGGGTCCCTTTACCTTTACTTAATGATTGTTGAATGTTACTTTTTTGATGTAGGTTGCCTGTTTTAAAGTTATGTTTTATTATCACATTTTTGTATTGCATCAGATTGTTATAAGATGTACATTTTTGGTTTCTTCAGCTTGTAAACCGCCTTGAGTATTGTAAGATAGAAAGATGGTATACAAATTTTAAATGATGATGATGATGATCTAAAACTCTCAGTTACTCTTTAGTAACCACCAGTTATATTGAAATTGAACTGAAGTGCATTATTTTTGGTGCTCAGTTCAGACATAAGAACCTAAGAAGAGTCAGCTGGAGCAGGCAGTTTGAACCTAAGCCGTGTCGGGCTTTACAGGTCATAAAAAGCCCTTTTAATTGTGCCCAAAATCAGAGCGGTAGAGAGTGGAGCTGTTCTAGCAACGCTCCTTTTAACCAGCCCTGGTGAACCAATGGCTGCAGCTCTTTGAGACAGTTTTCAAAGGCAGCCCTGCCTAGAGCAAGTTCCCATGGTCCAAACAGAATGCAGCCAAAGCAAGTGTCACTGTGGCCAAATCAAGCATCTCAAGGAACGGGCGCAGTCCATACCCATTTTCAATACATTCACTGGATTGATCATGCTCAACCTCATGTCCGTCAAGGATATCTCATCTTTTATTCATTTGGAAATAAATCACACCACCAACATTAAGAGAAGGAAGATCCCTGTGGCCATTCTTAAAAGAAGAGATGGATTTGACCATAGAGAAAACGGTTAACTTACGAAAGCCCAGGAGCTCTCAGGAGCTCTGTTCATCATCAGCGGTCTGCTTGGTTTTTCCTTTCAGAACAGAATGTGAGAGTGTTTATAAGGCTTTGGCGTATATAATCCCTTTGGGTTTTCACTAGGCAAAGAGCAGCCTGTGATTCTATACATAGCCCTCAGATCTCAAGGTAGACCAGGAGGAATTCCCTAACTAGAGGATGTTAACCTCTCCGGCATGCTGTTGGAGAACGTGGCAGCCTTCCACAAATGGATCTATGGGAATGGAATTACTGGCAACTGAGGGGCTAACCATAGGAATCAGCATCATTCAAGCATCTCAAGCTGAGGAGCAAGAGGAGGCAGTGTGGTGTAGTGGTTAGAGCGTTGGAGACCAGGATTCGAATCCCCCACTCGGACATGAAGCTTGGGTCAGTCACTGCCTCTCAGACTAACCCACCTCACAGAGTTGTTGAGAGGAATAAATTGGGAGGGGTAGAAACGTTTATCCCGCCTAGATCTCCCTGGAAAGACAAGAAGGGATATAAAGGCAACAGATAAAATCAAATAAATTATGAGACGCCCCAAGGGCGGCTCCCACAACTACAGTGGTACCTCTGGTTACAGACGCTTAGGTTACAGACTCCACTAACCCAGAAACAGTACCTCGGGTTAAGAACTTTGCTTCAGGATGAGAACAGAAATCGTGCTCCGGTGGCGCGGCAGCAGCAGGAGGCCCCATTAGCTAAAGTGGTGCTTCAGGTTAAGGAGAAGAAGAGGAGAAGAAGAGTTTGGATTTGATATCCCGCTTTATCACTTCCCTAAGGAGTCTCAAAGGGACGCGGGTGGCGCTGTGGGTAAAAGCCTCAGTGCCTAGGACTTGCCGATCGAAAGGTCGCGGTTCGAATCCCCACGGCAGGGTGCGCTCCCGTCACTCGGTCCCAGTGCCTGCCAACCTAGCAGTTCGAAAGCACCCCCGGGTGCAAGTAGATAAATAGGGACCGCTTACTAGCGGGAAGGTAAACGGCGTTCCGTGTGCTGCGCTGGCTCGCCAGATGCAGCTTGTCACGCTGGCCACGTGACCCGGAAGTGTCTGCGGACAGCGCTGGCTCCCGGCCTATAGAGTGAGATGAGTGCACAACCCTAGAGTCTGTCAAGACTGGCCCGTATGGGCAGGGGTACCTTTACCTTTAAGGAGTATCAAAGCAGCTAACAATCTCTTTTCCCTTCCTCCCCACAACAAACACTCTGTGAG